CATTCCATTTTAAAAAATAGGGCTAATTAGCGAACTTCTTTTGCCAATAATTTCCTTATTTGTTAAGATATCTGAGTGATTTTGGTGTCATTGTCTTTGTTTATTCAAGCTCTTTCCAACGGTACCATTGGCATTTAATTTGGTTGAGTTTGAAATTTTTCTTCACATACCTACTTTAATACGGAGCCCCCGAAGTCCCATAGGGTGATTTTTTTAAAAAAATCATGTGGCACAAGTTATTTTCTTGTGCTCACAAGTTATTCTGTGCGCACAAGATAATTTACTCTGTGTTTGAGGCCGAGAGTAATATGACAACTATGTCTACCAAAACTATGTCTCGACGTCTAAACAAATCAAACTGGAGAGAAATTTATTTACATTCAACAAGTAACACCATAAACTCATTTTCCATTTTTTTATGCTGCAAACTGTTTCTTTGGCATTAAGGGTGAATTATACAGTCCGTGTTTATGGTCGCGACAGAGGTGAAGCGACATTTATTCATGCGACATGACAATATTTTTCCTTCGGTCATTATCGTTAATCATAATAATACACTATTATAAACAGGTACAGTAAATACAATAAATAGGTGTCAGTAATATCAAAAAATGTTACTTAAACTCGGTGAGGTGAACAAATCAGCAAACCAATTAAAGTAGAAAACATAATCTGTCTTAATGCAACCGAACAAAACATCAGTGTCAATATTAGTAGGAATAACCCTATATTCCTTCAATCATATTCAAATAATCAAAAGTACTACATAATAACATATAACTTGGTCACAATTTATTGCACGCAGGCTATATTTTGTGCATCTTTAATATTGTTGACACCGATGTTTGGTTCGGTTGCATCAAGACATAGCCTACTATGTTTGAGAGATTGAAACTAAAGTATCGATCTCATTAAACTGGTATCGATCGATATCAATACCAACATTTTTATCGATATTATCGATACTTGGATCGATTCGCCCACCACTACCGTAGCTACATGATTCCAGGGTTGTGGGTTTAACTCCTGCTCTATGTTCTGTATTTATGAAGCTTGAATGTTCTCCTGCCATTTGCATGGGTCTCCTTTGGATACACAAGTTACCCTCCACAACTGCTGATAAAAACATTTAATAACATACAGCAAATTACAAATTATTGCATAGGTGTGTTGAGTGTTGTGTTCCTACTACATGTATTCAACCTTGGTGAGGAGTCAATAAAAAGACTTATGTACTATGGGCTCATTAATGTAGCAGCTTGTGAAATTCATAATGTATACAAATGATTACATTCCTACACAGATATCAATGAGTGCCGTGGACACACACAATAACACAAACCATCCATCCCAGCAGGATTGTAAGGAATAACTCAGACTGAGGCACCAACCCATCGCAGGACATACACACCATTCACATCTATGTGAAATTTTCACAGCTCCAATTCATCTAAGTGTGTTTGGAAACTCTGGTGGAATCTGGAGAACACAGAGAAAACCTCATGATGATAAGATAAGAACAGGGTGGAGACTCAAACCTTAGGTGAAAGGCAACAGTATTAACCACAGCACCACTGTGCCACCCATAATGCAACACAACATCAAAGCTTACATTAACCATCCTGCTACACTCTCATTTGCTCTTGTTATTTCAGTGGTTGTTGGGTTGTGTGACGAACACAAATTTGTTGATTCCATGTAAAATTCAAAAGGAAAACGTTATGTTTGGAAAATATACAAAAATGCATGACATT